CTCGTCATCATTTCTTTAAGGGGTAGTTAAGGGTGGAGTAATGATATTTGAATTTTTTTAGGGTTGGATGACAAAGAGGAAAGCTTGCACGAATTTTGTTACTAATTATGTAATTTACCCAATTTCAAAGAAACTAATTTTCAATTTAACAAGTAATTATTTAGTTTGAAATTTTAGATGCAGTACATTCATATATATGACATGAGGATAGGAATGGGCGATTATATATAGTGTAAGTTTTGTTTATGCCGTGGGGTAGGATGCTTGCATTGCTATGCCACAAAGACCTTCCTTTGCATCAACATCCCTTTGCATCCTAATGTACCCTTGTTCACCCCAGCTACTGCCCCACGAGTTCTTCACCAACCAATACTTAGTCCCATCGTCATCCCTCCATATCCAACGGCGGTCACTCCGTGATCGAGTTGCGTGCCACAGGATCCCGTAAATACTCCACTGGAGTAGAACTGGAAGTCGAACCCCCCGGCATCGATGGCAACCGAAACGGGTTGGTTCGCAACGGCCTTCTGCAGTGCATCTTCACTATTGGCGGGCACATCTTGGAAGCCATTTATGGTAGCTGCATGGTTGGCTTCTTCGTTGGTATTGCAAGTGCCATCAACTCCCTTGTAGGGGTAGTTGGATTCGGTAGTTAGGCCTTTGTTCTTTAGGATGAACTGGAAGGCATCGTCCATTAAACCACCTTGGCAGCCTTGATCCTCACCTTTGGTGTCGCAGTCGACCAGTTCTTGCTCAGACAAGGAAATCAACGTACCTTTTGTTAGCTTAGTAACCCCTTCCATGGCTGCCACAGCTGAAAACGCCCAACAGCATCCTGTGAATTAGATCAACACAATTAGAACATTAGCAAAAGCAAAACAATGGTTAATATTTCAGATTAGAGCAGACCGCATTGGCCTTGGTCTTTGATAGGTGTCACAGCTCCTTTGTTTCTCCAATCCACAGAAGAAGGCAATGCGGTGACGTTTTCGTATTTGAAAGTAGTAGCCTTGTTGGAACACATATGGCCCTTGAACCCATTTCGAGAAGCGGTGAACTCTTCATTTGTTAGATCTGCGAACTGATTGACAGCAAGCTTGTAAGGCTTGTTATTGGCGTTGTTGAAAGAGTCAATGAGCTCCACGTTTTGTTTGAAAACGTTGAAACGCTTTTGCCTCTCATTGTTGTCACTGTAAACTCGTCCAAATTGGGACATCCATTGTCGATGCCTCTCGTACATTGATGCATCTTCAAGACTAGTGCGGGAGGTGGCTTCACACACTAAGTTGGCCCCCAATAATACTATCAAGGCCAAATATGTGAATTGGATTTTGGAACCCATTTTGCTATGAAAATTGATGGATGAATGAGGAAAATGATGATGAATTCTTCCTCTTATATACTCCATTTCCCTCTCTCTATCTCCCTGCCCTGCAAGCAAAGTCTTTGAAAATTTAACTCACTGTGATGATTTCTTATACACTCCAAAACTTGGGTCAAATTATGCTTTTTGTCCCTCTACTTATCATGTACATATTTGAGCTGCGGTGCTTGTATAAATTCAGTCGTAGACTTGTAGTTTATCGTATTACTGCAGCAGCAAAATGGGAAATTGGGAGGAGTCTGGTTTTGTATTCAAATTCCCTCCCCTGCATCAATCAAACCAAACTAAAATGCTATCTCACCGTGCCGTTTCCTTCATACATCAAATTCCTTTTAAATTGACTTTCTGTCAAGCTAGAATTAGAGTAATCAGCTAGGGGAGGGTTATAATGGGTGAAAAATATGGGAAAGTTTCTTTAAGCTCCTTAAAAGGTTTTGAAATTTTCAATTTTGTAACACCCAAAACCTTACTCCAAAGAATCTAACGGATCCAAACTATTATATTGGTCATTAGAACGACTAACTTATAGAATTATTTCCACATTTTAAAACAATTTAAAACTCGAAAGATTGTATCAAAATATAATTTAAAATAGTGCTAACTAGGAGACTGAGGGGTGTTGGAGACCTGGTAATCGGTGTTGGAGAGATGCAGACAGAAGCTTGTTGGTTTGAAAAGTAGAACTCTTTCGTTTGCAGGCAGAGTCACTCTATTAAGTACAATAATTTCTTCTGTCATTTTATTATGTCTATGTTCGAAGTTCCTAAATCAATTATGCTGCTAAAGATCGATCAACTTAGAAGAAGCTTTCTAGGGGGAATTTTAAATATTATGGTAAATTACAAATTTAGTAATTGAATTTTACTCTCTCTCCTATTTTGCTCACTTAATTTTAAAAGTTCTCAATTTAATAACTGAACTTTATACATTGAATTTTTTTAATCACTCTACAATGAAAAGGATTATTTTATTATTATTTTTATATATCGTATTATATTTTATTATATAGACCATTGAATGTAAGGAGTCTCGGTTATAAATAGATGTCTTCTTCATGTCATTAATGGGAGGAGACAAAAAAGAGAGAAAAAAAGAGAAAATAATCACCTAAAATATTGTAATTCAAAAATAAGAGCAATAAAAAAAGTATTTATTTACAAGTAATTCTTTCTTTTATTTTTATTATTATATTTTTATATGTTTATTCCGGTCGATCTCTACCTTCTTATTCTTCTTTTTACTTTGAAAACTCCTATGGAATATGGTGGTCGGTGACAAGGAGGGTCATTTTTCTTGAAAAGACCTTTAGATCTATCATGTTCTGAAGCCCTCCAAGAAAAATTATGGGTGAACTTTGTATTCAATTAAATGATCCGATGACTCGATCCAAATTTTAATGAGCTCCATATGTTTTCACAAGCGCAGGAGATATTTATTTCTAGCGTTCCTCGTGATTTTTATAAAAAAATCAATTCAATCCCCTTTTTCTTAATATCGATTTAGTCTCTTTCAAATTTGATATTCAATTTTATTTCAATTCATTTCAGTCTTTTCTTTCCTTTTTTCCATTTTGGATTTGCTTTAATTTTTCCATTTACTCCATCAATCTTTTTTTTTCATTTTTACTATAAATTAAAATTTTGCATTTGCTTTTATTCGTTTTTTATTTTTTCCCCATATTTCTTTCGGTTACATCCCGTTTACATTTCTTTTCTTTTTTTCATTTTTACCCTATTAGAGGTGTTCAAATCCCTTGAATCACGTCAAATATGTTATTTCCATTTGTTTTGATTTATTTTATTATTTTCCTACATTTTTAATTTTCCTCTCTATTTCATTCAATGTGATAAAATATTCTTTTACTCGTTTTAATTATTTGTATTAATCGCATTCATTTATTTATTTTATTTTATATTATACATTTATTTTTATCATGTATTTAATTTAATTTTAAATTTATTTTATTTTATCTATTGTTTTTTTTATGAAAAGAAAAGAAAAGAAATCACTAAGAGGCGAACAACGCCATCAACTCAAACAACTCGAACATCATCATAGAAAACATGACTTATTTCCGGGACGGATCATGAAAGAAGTGGATGCCAAAAGAACGTTTCCAAGCCAATTTTACCATAACATCAGCTACCCGATTGCATTCTCTAGGGACGTGAACCAATCGGACCGTCCAACAACGTTTGATGAGATCAACTATATGTGGCACCGTTGGAGCATTTCCACCTTCACTCGAACCTTTATTAATAGCCAAAAGAGCCTCTTTGCAATCCGTTTCTACAATGACTTGCTGTAACCGAAGATCCGAAGCAAGTTTAATCCTTCGAATATTCCCCATAACTCAACATCTAGTACTGAACAGTACCCCGGTGGATTTAGTAAACCCCGAAAGCCATGCACCCTCATGATCCGCATGTCGCCAAACCTGTATCCGCTCGGTGAGTTCCGTCCGTGTTGATTTTCAGCCAATCACAAGGTGGAGTCTCGCATGATTTATTCCGTGTTAATACAGATTAGGCCCAACTCATTTTTATTTTTATTTTCATAGACCATAATTTATTTTATTTTTCAGTAAATATTTCTCAAAGGTAAGTAATTTTGATATTCTCTTTAAATTTTGATCCGAACTTTAATTTTCAATATTAAGACAACTTGTAACCGTGTTGGTATCGAAAGAGCGATGTGAGGTTGCTCATCCTTCCTCACACGTAATCGACTCTCGAACCTTTCCAAGTGAATCTCTCGTAAGTTGTATATATGGTAAAGAGATAATTTTAGGTATCAGACTATACCTAACCCAAATGATTGGTGGCAATTCCAAAAAAGTAAAACTCACTTTAAGTCGAAATGTGATCCTGTGCCGCCCAAAAGACAGTTGCGACAAAAATAATTACATATTTGGATGAACTTGGGGATGAATTTGGAATATTCAATAGTTTAGAGACTAATTTAGAAAGAATATTATCATTTAGGGATGAAATTAGAATATTCAAAAGTTTAAGGAAAATTTTAGAATAAGAGTGATAGTTTGAGGATGAAATTAGAGTATTTAAAAGTTTAAGAATCAATTTAAAATGAGGGTTATAATTTGAGGACATATGAGGCAAATAACTCCAAAAAATTGCTAGAAAAATGAAGGGTAAACTATATGTTTAGTACTTAAATTATTACTTTTATTCTGTTCTATTTTGGTACCTAAACTTTATTGTTTTTCAAAACATATCTAATGTTTAGTTTAGTTTTCATTTTGATACCCGACCGTTAAAAACATAACGTAACGTTGACATGTCGACATAAAGAAATGCCACATCAACATTGAAAAAATAAAAAAAAAAATATCACGTCAACAATTATGTTAAGTTTTTAAATACATACACCAAATTGAAACCTAAACTAAATGCTAGACATGATTTTGAGAAAAATATAATTTAGGTACCAAAACGGATAAAAATAATAGTTTAGATACTAAAATTGTAATTTACCCTAAAATTATTCGTCAGATATTGTTCACATTCATTGATTTTAAATTGACTAAATTGAGTGAGTTGTATTTTATCGATAGAAAAAGAAAACAAATAATTGAAATTTCATACTCTTCTAGTTCCTCTGCTTGCTACAACCCGCACTCAATGGACTCAACCGCTACCTGCAAGTCGCCAGCTCGATTCACTCTGGGCAAGCAGTCGTCTCTGGCACCGGACCGGGAGGGATCGTCCGGCGGAGCCACCGAGGCGATGATAGACCCGAGGGTGAGGCTAATGTACATGGCTAACGAGGGGGATTTGGAAGGGATGAAGGAGCTATTGGACTCTGGCACCAATGTCAACTTCAAAGATATTGATGGGCGGACCGCTCTCCATGTCGCAGCTTGCCAGGGCCTTACTGATGTCGTCCAGTTGCTCCTTGATCGCGGCGCCGATGCCGATTCCAGAGATCGCTGGGGCAGCACTGTAATTCTCTTTCTATCTCTCTCTTTTTTTTACTTGATGAATTCATTTTCTTTATGTTTTGCTCGTTGCCAAAGAATTTCGATACATAATGAATAATAGAAAGTAAAATTCCTATTATTGAAAAGCAAATAAATGTCTGAAATGGGATAGTTGTTCTAGTAGAATTGTTCTGTACAAAAGTAAAATGATTCATTTTGTTCTTACAATCAACAACAACAACAAAACCCAATTCCGCAATGGAGTAAGGGGAGGTCTGCCTAACGCCAGGTTGAGAGTAGCTTCCGTGAAGACCTCCGGCAGTCAGAAAATCAAAAATATAGATAAAAATGCAATGCATGTATAAATAAATACATAAATACATAGTTGAACAGTATTCATATGTAGTCATTAATATCCTATGTGCGTCTTTAATGTGAAGTAATCCCTGCAAATAAAACCCTGTGCAAATAAAACCCTGCGAAAAAATCTCTGCATATAGACAGTAACGTTAGACCCGGCTAAATTTAAAAGAGGAAACATGAAGAGAATGATACACATGCATTTTGTTCTTGCATTTCATATATTCTTAAGTTTTACAAAAAAAATTGCGCATCAGAAATATACATTCTTTTCTTTTGTTTTGGTAGTTGAAAGCAAAGTAGTCAAAGCAACAATCTAAAGCTAAACGAATTATCGGTTTTCCTTTTTTGGGGAGAATCATTGAAATTTGAATTACTTGGTTAATGTTGTGATTTGTCAAATAAAATTATTAAATGGATGAATTTCTCTAAACAGCCACTTGCGGATGCGGTTTACTATAAGAATCAAGATGTGATCAAGCTTTTGGAGAAGCATGGTGCAAAGCCTCCGGTATTTAATCGGTGTCGTTCCTGCAGCTATTGATATTTTCTTAAATTGTCAAGTTTGTTTTTAAATGATCAAGTGTAGCTTCATGTTTAAAAGTCAATATTTGCTTTGATTATAGATAGCCCCAATGCATGTTCTAAATTCTCGGGAAGTGCCAGAGTATGAGATTGATCCCAGTGAACTTGACTTTTCTAACAGTGTCAATATCACAAAGGTAATCTCTGAACCCTGTTGTTTTTTCTGTCAATTGCTTTTATTTATTCTTTTGATGCATCGTGATAGCACTTTTCATTATTTTATACCTTTGTTTACATTATCATGAACTTTTTGTGTGAAGTACAGTTTTATGTTTGTGTGCTAGAGTTAGGTATTAGGTTTTTTTTTTTTTGATAGAAAGTAGGCCTCATTAAAAAAACCCGTTCAAGAGTTAGGTATTAGGTTATATCTTTGGCCAGAGTCTATGTTGCGTTTTCTGTTTAACTTAAATGAGATTGTTCTTTTACAACTCTAATAAGAATTCCTGTATCTTTATTCAAAATTGAGTGTAGTTATCATATCACTGAGTCCTCCTAGATACTTAAAAGTAGAAAAAGAGAAGAAATAGTAAAGGTGGACAATGATGAACATAGCTGTAATGCTGTCTTGAATTTGTACACAAGGTTGCCATCTTATGTTTAGAGTGTACTTTGGTAAAATCTTTTTGTATGGAATACTATATTAATCAGGATCAAGAAGGCCATCTCACTAAATAGATAATTGAATGTTAACACAGGGAACATTTCGCGTAGCATCTTGGCGGGGTATTAAAGTTGCTGTTAAAACACTTGGAGAGGAAGTTTTTACCGATGAGGAAAAAGTGTGGGTTTGTTGGAATTTTTTGAAGTTTTTTTTAACCAAAAGTATCTCCAATGTCTTTGATTTAAACCTAATTCCTAGTTTCATCTGTTTCTGAATTTTTTATGTTTTGTTGGAATTTCAGAAAGGCATTCAGAGATGAGCTTGCGTTGCTTCAGAAGATAAGACATCCAAATGTTGTCCAATTTTTGGGTGCTGTAACCCAAAGCAGTCCAATGATAATTGTTACAGAATACTTACCTAAGGTTTGATCATGTTCTGCTTTGCTACAATAACAATTAGTTTGTTTTGTCATTTTGTATTTTTTTTAAAGTTCTGTGTTTGATCATATAATGGTAACAAGTTGCATTTTTAGTTCTATAAAATTTTGAAATTATTTTTTGTCTATTGGCATTTGGCTCTCTGCACTTGTAGTTCTACATATACTCAAAAATTGCTTTTAGATACTTTCGGTTTTTTTTCATAATTTTCTTTCTATAGATAAAGGAAAATAATAGTGTTCTTGACTGGTTTTTGTTAATATTTAGAACATAGTGTGTAATTTCCATATTAATGAAATATAACATTATTACGGAAATGAAATATACTTCTTCCTTACCGTTTGATCAGTTTATTAATTATAAAGTACGTGCAAGTTATCTTCCTTAAAACCATGTGAGTTTTTGAATAGTTAATTTATGAAGGTGAAGTAGAATCTAAAGTAACACCTAAAATTTTCAAGTAGTTTGGCCTTTGGGGTATTTCTCTCCGCCAAGCTACCGGTTTGATATTTGACTTTTTTGTATTGGAAACAATGTTAAGCCCATGTTCACATTAGAATCTAAAGTATTGAAATTTTTAAGTTGATTTAGGAAATAACCAAAAAAAACAGCATCACATTATGAGAGATACTGTTTTTTGGTTATTTCCTAAACCAAGTAAGTCTTGTTTATCCACTTTGTACAACACTTTTGTACTGTGATGAGATTTTCTTAAGATTTCAAATTTACATAGCCATGTTCACATATTTTGTTCTATGTTTAGTTTTCTGAAGCTGCTGCATCTGTATTAATTAGGAGATGATGTAATATTTGGAAAACCCTAGGTTAAGAAAAGCATCTGGCTTCTATCCAATCTTCTACGAAGAAAATAGCCGAACATGGAACTAGAAATATTGTTTCCAGTAATAGTAGTAGGATATCTGAATATGTATTAACTTTTTTGGGGTCTTTACAAGAAATTTATATTAAAATTTTATAATATGATTTTGACATGAGTGACTTTTTTCCTACATTTAACTTTACCAACTCAGAATATTAGATTCCCACCTCTTTGTGAGAGGAAATTTCTCAATTCTGGGCAGTAAATTAGATTCGCAGAACGTCCAATTACTTCATATTGAGACTATTAGTTTGAACAAAATAAGGGAGAATATCCCCTCATTTAATTTACGGGCGATCTCTCATGGCATTGTCCTTTCTTCTCTTTTAGCCTCTTGTTCTGAATTCTTTGATTTGGGAAAACTAGAGAAGAGAAGAAATTAGAAAAGGCATTGTTCTTGGTTCTTGAACAGTTGGACTGATGTAATGTTCTTTTTCTGGCAGAAGAATAATAACTGTCATCTTTTTGTTGTTTATGTTTGCACGTCAGTTTAATATTCATCGACTTTTTTTTACCACATCACGCATTGTAAAAGTTTATTCTTGTATTTTTTTACAGGGAGATCTTCGAGCATATTTGAAACTAAAAGGCGCATTGAAGCTAAAACTTGCTGTTAAGTTTGCACTTGATATTGCCAGGTTAGTTAGGTGGTTGAGAATTAGTCTATTAGTTTCTGATTGGCTAGTTTCTCTTCTCTAGTTTCATTTATGAGCACCTTTATGTGCATGATCTCAGATGACTTCTTTATTAAAACAACATTGATTTGTCGAATTGGGATTTCCAAGTCCATATTTCTTAAAATTCTTGGGAGTAACCTACATGGATGCCTTTTGGGGTTAGGCATACAGACCAAAATTTCTTGAGTGTTCTATTGAAATTTCAATTAATTTCTGCCATTTTAAGAAAAACTAATATAGTTTACAGGAAACATGCATTATTACGTAGAAAGAATTGTGCTAAGATTGTGTCCGTGCATCCATGAATGCTGTGGAATTTGTTTGTCGTAACAAAAATGTTTGTAATTTAATGAACATGAAAGACGATTATGGTGATCATTAACATCGATTACTTTAACTCGATTACTGTGGAGGAATGTAGTATTGGTGGTAGAAAGAAACGATAATCTGAGAAGGTAAAGTCATTCATTTGCTGCAATTTGTGATTGAAAAATCATTGTTAATGCTCTATTCAATTAGTTAATGGCTCAATAGGATCCACGCGTTAGTTAAAGGCAGCAGAAGTGGGAACGAACAGGTAAAACTAAAATGCCACCATTTATAATTATGGATAAGTTTTAGAAGGTTGGCAATGTCATTACATATGCAAATCTAGTAAGACTTTTAGACTGTTGCTATGATTTGTAGAAATAGAAAATGGTGTTGGATAGCTATAATGTTTATTGTAAAAAAATCTATTCCCTACATTTTGGCTTATTTTGACAAGGATTTTAAGAAATGTAGAATCAGAAAAAGAGGTTGTTTTGCCACCAAATAGAACTGGTTGGACAAGCTAATTTTTGTTCCCACTTTCAAAATTCTGAAAAATTTTGTACTTATGACTGGATTTTTGTTGATGATTGGCTGCTTCATTTTGATGATTTTTTGTTATGTTATCTACTGCAGGGGAATGAATTATCTGCACGAACATAAGCCTGAAGCAATAATTCATCGAGATCTTGAGCCTTCGTAGGTCTTCCTTAAACCTTAAGTTTTCTCATAACATTTTGGACATGGAACATGCATTATTGTTATCCTAATTGGAAAATTTTCTTAAAGCTCGTTATTGTTTAATGTATTACGAGTAAGATAACAGAAATATACTACGGGATGATTCTGGGCATCTGAAAGTTGCAGACTTTGGAGTGAGCAAGCTGCTCAAGGTTGCTAACAGAGTTAAAGAAGACAGACCTGTGACATCGCAAGAGACTTCTTGTAAGTTCCCAAAATTGAGCAAAACTCTAAGTTGTGAATTATTAGACTAGCCATTCGACTTTGCCTTTGTTGAGAAAGTCAGAGGCAGGTAGCATGATTTGTGGTTCTGGTTCCTAATTAACAGTTTGATTACCTTGTTTACGTGAGAAGTTTATTAAAATAACAAACTTAAAATATTGGTTTCATGTGGGCTTTTGCAATTTGCATTTTAATATGAATCAAAGAATTGAAACCTATTTATGCTTTCATTTTAATGGAAAAATACATCATGATGTATCCATCTTTCCTAAGCAGGGCGATATGTGGCACCGGAAGTTTTCAGAAATGAAGAATATGATACTAAAGTTGATGTATTTTCATTTGCTTTGATATTACAAGAGGTTCGAGTTTTTTTTTTTCCTTTTTTTCCCAACTCATGCTCATTTAGCCGAGTTGCAGTGCTGCTAATACTTGTGTTACTACTAAACTTTAACTAGGGGATAAAATTTAGTCTTCGATACTCTTCCCAACTCTGGGGAAAGAAAAATTATGCAATCTTTTTTTTTTAAATGAAATATTTATTTATTAGGCCCCTAAATTTTAATAGTTGTCTTTATAAGAAGGTTCCAATTGAGCTTGCTCATTTCATCATCCCACAACCTTGAAGCCTTCTGCACCATATAACAATTTGATAAGACTTGAGCTAGAACTACTATCTATTTTTTTTCTAATTGAAATTCATTTATGATGTTTAAGGTTGAAGGGGATATCAGAACTCGATGTATCTGGGGTTTATAAGCATATTTTTGTTTGATTTTGTTTTAAAACATAGTAATACACTCGGAAAATATTTCTTTTTGTTTTTCAGAATCTTTTTTTCATCCTTATTTAACAACTTCGTTAGCCTTGACACCCTATAGTATGGTCTTTAAGTAGTGATTATCTCAATTTAAGATTTTTGTCCAGCAGTGCAGTTGCAGCTGCAGCATTTGGTTTAAAGACAAAACAACCATGTCATGTCTAAAAGAACTTATAACATCAAGAAACACACATCTCCCTTTTTTTTCATGCGTGTGTGGCATTTGATAAATATTGCATGCGTGAGATCTATAAGGTTTCTTTCTATTTGTTAGTTGTTATTCCATTTAGAAGTTGCAATAATATATTAATATCATCTATCAATGCTCTAGATGATTGAAGGTTTTCCACCATTTCATACAAAGCAAGAATACGAAGTTCCTAAAGCATATGTTGCGAATGAGCGCCCACCTTTTCGAGCTCCTGCAAAGTGCTATGCTCATGGGTTAAAAGAGTAAGTCCTCTGAAACTTGTTTTATCTACCCTTATCTGTATGCTTGTACATCCTTTACGAATGCTTCGATGAATTTGGAAAGCCTCGTTGCTACTTGGAAAGCATAATGTGAACTCCTTGTATGGTTGACCAATTTATCAGACCCAAAAAGATTTTTTTTTTGTTGCATTTTTGCCTATAAAAATTCTATTTCTATGGCTGCTGAAAGCATTATATGTTAGGCACTCTGCTCGCCAGCATGGCTAAATTAAAAACATCTGAGAAAGTATGAAATTAATATTGAATAAATCAGGATCATGGATAGACTTACACTGGTGAGATCAGGACTGCTGCAACTTAACCGTATATTTGACACCATTTTGGCTTGAACTGCTTATAACTGGAAATGCTGGAGAGAAGGGTTTTGTTCTTTTCTTTGGGGCGGGTGTGGGGGGGGGGGGGGTTGAGTTTTCAGCCTTAAATTTACCAATGTGCCCATAACCCAGACAAAAGGTAATTGCGGGATTCAGAGCTGGCTATTTCCTTCCTCGCTCTTTTCTTGTTTTTAGCATAAATTTAGTTATAAGTTTCAAAAGCAAGGTCATCTTAATAGACTTCTGTTCTTTCTAAAATGGATCTTTCTGTTTTCTGCAGGTTAATTGAGGAATGCTGGAGTGAGGAGCCATTCAGGAGACCACCATTCAGGGAGATAATAACAAGGCTGGACTACATAAATAACCAACTTGCACATAAGGGGCATTGGAAGGTTTCTTCTCTCCCATTTAGATACACATACACATACAGAGGATGCAAATGGACGTGTGCCTGCAGTTTTGTGCATATACCAACTTGTTATCTTCTTGTTTCATATATTCACCTTTTGTAATACTGCATGGAATGTAGCTGCATTCCTTTAGTGGGGGAAAAAAAGAACAGCCTTCTGTGTCGATTATTTTAAAATTGGGGGAATAATGAATATGCCTAACATTTTCTTGCAAGGAAAATTTGAGATGATAAAGGGAGAATATCATAAGGGTATTGAGAAAAGTGGAAAATCATTGTAGTAGCACGTGGCTTGAGTTTAGACGACATTTAGAAGCATCAATAAGTTTTAGTTCCTCCCGAAAAGTGAGTCTCTAGTATTTTCCTCCCTCATGTAACGTCTCAGCCGCTTTTCACTTTTGATTTTTCTGGTGCTATTCGACGCTTTTGTGGTCTAAGCTGGTTTTCTCTTTGAGTCTTGTGGAACATTTGGCTTGACTATGAATGACATGTTTGTTTCCATCGTTCTTATTATAACATTTATCTAGCTCGATGAGTGTTACAGTAAGTTTCCAACTTTTATCATTGTACAGTTTGGACCGCTCAAGTGTCTAAAGAACTTCGAGAATATGCTGAAGAGAGATCGTCTAAATCCGAGCAGTCGTTCATCTCGCTCCGCAACCAGATGATAAATTTGTAAAAGCTTTCTTTATCTTTCAATGCCTTTTGTTTCATACTTGTTCTCTTATTGAGTCATTGTTGCATGTTGAGTCCATATTATTAGTGCTACTTTAACTATTGACCAAGTCCTCACCAACTAGTTAGATTTATCTTGCTATTATATCGTGATTTAATTGAATAATTGTTACTATCTTGTTTAACATTAAAATAGTTGTGATCTTGTTTGAGTTTCTTCCTTGAACTATCAAAAGCATTATATATGAATTGGTTGTTGTTGGTTTTCCGATCTCTGTTGAAGGTCTTGGTCTTGAATATTAAGAAGTCTCTTCCTCTATTCGAAAACGCTCGACGCCAATTGATTATGAGGAACTCTTTTAGAACCTTATTGATCATGGCTTTTTCTCAAGCAGGAGGTGAAACGATTTTCTTCTCAGTCGTCCAATGCAACACTAATACTTCTCATTTTTACTGAAACACTAGTCGCAATCATCAACATCAGTCTTTTCGACCACTATTTTTCTCTTTCCCAACTACAAGCTTCCTGGCGCCCACAAGTTTCCAATTATACTCCATGTGTCCGGTGCCAATTTTGTGACAGATGTGGCCGGCCCCATTTTGCATCTCAAACTACTCATCATGCATTCATGCTCCGACATGGATTCTAGACACCGGCGCTTCTCACCACATCATTGTCGATCCTGATGATCTTGACTCTGTTGTTGAATATTGTTGATGTGACCATATGAATTATGATGGTTGTAGACGGCTCACCTCTTCTGATTTGGATGAAGTAGAACATAGATGAATAAGGGTGGGGTGGTTTCATCTAGTTCGCATCTAATTTGCGTCTTTTATAGTAACCCTTAGTGTGGATGTCAGCTGTAGGGTCATCATGGAAACCCGTAGACTAGCAGGCAAGGTGGATACGGTCATGTGGCGATGAGTTTGATTCTGGTAGTTCAAGTGGGCCTGTCAAAGGTCATGTCATTGAGTCGCTGTTTCATGAGGGATGTTAAATATTTGAGATCCTTCTTTTGGAAATGTTTCTCTATGTCTTCCAGAGGTCTTTAGGTGCCAGAGATTCAAAGATGTTTTTAGATCTTATGGAGGCTATGAGACGCATGAATGATATGCAGAGGACTTTCGGCCGGGCCACATGTTGTCCCCTTAGTCGAGAGAATATCATAAAATGGCTTGATCCGAGAATTAGTTGTTGAAGCGTGAAAATTATTTTTTGTTTGAACGACTCAGAGGTTAAATGTGGGGTGACACACTATTTTGATCGTTGGGTATGTGTTTTTGGGGGATTTGCGCAATTGTACGATTAGCGTAATTCAGAAGGATCTAATTATATGACCATTGAGAGACCACGACAGCTCTCTTATTTTTGGGGTAGGTTAGGTTACTCTTTAGCATTCATTTATTTTCTTTGGAGTGTTTTTATTTTTGTTGTGGTTTCTATAAAGGTTTGTTTTCTAACATAATGAAAAAGGTTATTGTCGAAAAGGAGTTGGAGCCAATGCATTAGCATAGAGGTATCAGGGTAGGGCTATGAATGTAATGGTGTAAAGATCATTTCTCACTAATAACGACGCTCAAGAATCAATCGTTGAGTCCTTGATAGAATTTTCAGTTTGAGGAGACGGGGGAAATATGAGTGCATCTTGATTTGCGCATCTTAAGATAAATATTGAAGCGAAACTTCTGTTGTTTTGAGGTTTTTAGGGGGATTTATCATTTGACCCCTGCTACCCTACTAGGGAAACCTAGGAAGAATTTAAGAAGTGTTGGAAGCCCTATGTTGTGAATGAGATTAACATAGACTCTTCTCAAATCCAAGTGCGAGGATTTCTGCTATGAAAGATCTAATTGTTATTGATTCATAGGATTCTATTGGTAATCCTTCAGTTTAACTTTTGTACAATTCGTTATAGCAATAATTTTTTTTAATTTTTTTGTCATTCTTAATTCAGTGTTTATCATCTGTTGTTTGTGTTGTAGTGGTCGAATAAGCTTTGAGCTCTATTTCCTTTGTTAAAGCGTTTTTGCTAGAGTATACGGAGTTGCTTCCACGGTAACCGTGTCACGAAGAGCTATGTTACTTAGATTTGCATAAGCCTACTGTTCTAACCATTGTTTCAGCTTGCATTAGATTAAGATGAACAATTTTTTAATTAAGCGAAGTTATTTCTAGGTGATGCTACGACGTGTCTATATATGTCTAGATAAGTGTACGTATACACTATCGTTCAAATAGTAAAGTGGACACTAGTGTGTGTTAAATATCGTTCCCACAAAGAGTAGGGTGTTACGAAATCAATAAATTCTTGCAACAAATAAAATTGAAGAGCCCAAGTACTAGATAAATAAAGAAAATAGTAATCAATAGACAGAAGCAAAACCTTTTCACCTCGGGTTATTACTCACAACTTCCCGGGTTTGGAAACATAGATGATTTAACTCTGCCTAGAAAGAACTATCAAGTAGGGATGTCCAAAAATACTCGACTCTATCAATCTACTTAAAAACTATTAGGTATTTATAATGAAAATACTTGAACTTGCATGTCGGACATTCGACTTGTTATTTTTCTTGGGTCAGGCCCGAGTCACAATTTTTCTCTTAATCATATATCCGATTACCTGATACTCAAATTCTTTTTAATTTTATTTTATCTTATTTTTATATTATTTTATTAAAACTTATTTTTTTTAATTTTCGTTTAATAATTAAATTTCTAAAGGCTAAAAGACTAGACCCTTCTCTATCAATTCTCATTTTCCACTGGTTTCTTCCTCTCTTTTTTTTTTCTCTCTTTTCACTACGGTTCTACTTAAAAAGGTCACTATAAGCATGGTTTGGTTAGGGCATTCCTTACACTAACATATACATATTGTAATCTGACAAAATTTCATATAGATTTCTATGTTGAATCATATCAACAAGGAAGTCAGCCAAAAGATGTGAATATGGAGCATATTTATTTGGCTTTCGTTCAACTAGTCTTCATTTTTATCAATTGAAGCATAAGACTAGAGAACTAATATATACATATTAGTTGCATTCTTTATCGCTTATAGGTCTAACACTAGCATAATTCTAGAGCATATAAGGAACTGTGTTCCCTGTTATCCGAACTAGAGGGTACTCGGGTTTTACGCATACCCAATTATTAAAGGTTAGAACATGAGTCTAGTGTTTTATACTTAATAATCTCAGGTACTTGATACTTCAGATACCTGAAAAAGTGAGTATCCTGATATGAACACCTCTACTACCAAGTATCGACTCTGCTAAGTTAATGATCTTGACAAACATGCTAAAAAAGCAACCCTTTTATTATCATTCCACTAAACTTACCTAACTAAAGCAAGTCCAACCTAACACTTGTCACGACTCTCAGTGATAGCTAGATCTCTCTACACTATCAAAAACTCTCGTTACATTGATGCTTTACTAAAGTACCCTATGATCTCTCGATATGCTAGGGTTATAAGAAAACCTAATAATGCCTAACAAAATGAAGAGCAAGCCATTAACTTAACATTATATCACTGGAAATTCCAAGTAAGAAATAACAAAATGACATTCACTAAATCAAAAGCAATCATCAATAAATCCAACTAACATTGGATCGATCATTCCTCTTGAATATCTCCAGGCATGACACGGTCGATGAAGCTAGTAAGAAGTTCGTGGTGGCCTCTGAACTCACCAATTACAACCTTTGACACAAAAGAACTTGAGCTTTTAGAGCTTCATGGCTCAATAAAAATACGTAAAATAAAGATGAAGTTTTTGCATAAAGAAACGACGATTCTATATTAGTAAGGAGAGACTCTCCAAGAAGATATTTGCATCGTCTTATATACTCTTCCAGGCCAGGCTCTGGCGTCTTGTGGATTACGTAGTCTTGGAATAATAAATTTGGTGTCCTTTGTAACCATTGGACCTAGGGGTGTAAACGAGCCGAGTCGAGCTCGAGTATTGCCGAGCTCGACTCGAACTCCAAAACTTTAAACATAGGCTCGGCTCGACTCGACTCGAAAACTCGCGAGCCTAAAATTTTCTAGCTCGACTCGAACTCGAAAAAAATATTGAAACTCAACTCGAACTCGAAAGGGCTCGAACTCAAAAAAAATTTTAAGAACTCGATTGAAGCTCGAGTCACTGCTAACCGCGAGGCTCCGTAAATTAAACCATTGAGTTTGCGCCAGAGATTCAAAAAACGGTACACGGTATAACGGCCTTTATATCGCGGTATCGGCGGCCACCGTTACCGATATCAACCGAAATCACGGTGTGAAACGGAATCACACCTATAACGGCTGATAACAGACTGTTTTTCCCGTTAATCCCGTTACAACATCAGAAATCACCAACAACACAATTACTTCAAAAAAATAGCAATTCGGTTTCCTTTACAGCAAAAGTAAAAATGAAATAATATATTCTTTGTAAAACCTGTAAAAATCAGTTTACTTTACATCAAAATTGAAGAAAAAAAAGTAATCACAAATTCATAATTATTGAATCGGTACAAAATATAAAAACAAAAAGCAATAGAAAAAAACAACCCCATATTGAAATCTAAAATTTTTGCTTGCAACTTCAAAACTCCTCTCAAACTTCACTACCCCAAACTCAAAATCAAAGAAAAATTAGAAGGAAAAAAGCTTTCACTTTGAAGAGAATCTCACAATTTCAAGTAAGTAAAATACCTGATTGTTAAGTTCTTCATTCTTGCTTCTTGTAATATGCAGCAATCAACATAGGTATGAAAAAAAATTTGACAAAAAATCTTCACAATTCCATCAATTTTTGTAGTTTTTTGGATATTTTTGGTAGAAATAACAAGAAAATTTTAAGAAAGGTAACAAAGAAAAGAAAAGGGATGCATTTGAAAGAAAAAAAAGACATCTTTGCTGCTTCTGGCTTCTGCGTTCTGCCAGCCCTATGCCCCTCCATTTTCACGATAGAACTTAGAAGAAGATGATAGGTTTTTATGTTTTATCTTTACCCGTTAGGGATTTAAAGATGTTTTATGTTTTATTTCTTATTATTTTTTTTACTTTTAATTTGTAGGCTTTTTGGGTTTGAAGTTTGGACCCAA